GAGACTTAGAGAAAGCAATTTATTTCCAACTCTTACCTTCCCTGTCAGCTTGGAGGACCGTTTCAGCTTCAGGGAAGAGATCCCCTTGGAGGTCTTGTTATCCTTTCCGCTGTCTCTCTATGACACACATTATCATTATAGGAAACTAGTTCAATGCACAGCAAGAATGAGTCATTAAGAAAAGACAGATGCCAAATTTGGGACATTTTTGTTTTGTCCCCTGTTGCTCAAAGGAGCTGCAGTGTCCTCCCATGACTGACAGGGAGGACTTCTGGTACTTCTGGCTAAGTACAACATGCCTGTAAGGTTTCCTTGGCCTTTGTCACTCTCGGTAGAGCACCAGAGGAGCCAAGGAAAGCATCTGAAAATACAAAGATAGCCTGTTCCTCTCACCATATTTGGGCTGTTGCTCCTGAACTGGACCTGGTTTTTCTTGCCAATTGTGTCATATATCTGTGTCATCACGGAGCTGCTCTTGGTGGTGACATTCTTGGCAAACATTGTTGGCTCTGGCAGGTCCCCCATGAACCGCAGGATGATGACCCACACAACCAGAGAAGCCTGCAGTGGCAGAAAGCGCAGTCAGACACTGCCAGGAGAACCATGGGGCCGCATGCCCTTTCTTCCTGTTCAGGTAAGACCATTTTCCTCCTTTACCCACTCCAAGTTGTTAAAATTCCCCATCGCCTCCCACCACTTACACAAGGAGTTTCTTTTCATCTCCAACCACATGCGAGTGACATTCACAACTCTCTCTTGCTAAAAGAAGAGGGTGCAGGGCTTCAGGAGGCTCCAGTGAGAATGTCAGACCTGCTTGGTGATTGCTGAGCCCTCACCATTCCCTTTACTGGCACCTGGCAGGTCCACTGTAGCTGGAGTAAGGAAGGGAAACCTTGGCTGAACTGCACTCTGCATCTACCCACCTGGACAGGCCAGCACACTGCAGCAAGCTCTTCCAGGAGCCTTTATGCCCAGAAACAGAAAGCCAAGTAATGGCAAAGTTTTTGCAGCATGGGACCCTTCAATCTGTAAGGCTGTTTAATATCAAGAAAAACTTCCTTCTCCATCCCCCTATCCCTCAAGTGGAAAATGTGGATGAACCTAAGGAGGAGGGGAGCTGTAGGAGCCAGGGCTCCTGGCTGCTGCAGGGAGCAGGTTCACCAACAAGGAGAAGCAAGATACCAGGACATTGTCCTTGTCGTCGTGGTAGAGCAGTGGGTGCCGCAGGGGTCTCCGGATGTGTGTATGAGTAGATGACCCCTGAAAGTAAGTAGCTGCAAACTTTGGGAAAGTGTACTCTGCCAAGCCATCCGTTTCTTCTTCCAGCTCCACGCTCATGGGAATCATGTCCAGATCTACCTCTTCCAACCGGCTCGGCTTTGTTTCCAAGTCCTGCACAGAACATGCAGAAGAAGCATATTTTGTTTTCCTCCACCCCTAATATTCTTATTCTGTATATATAAAAAAATATATATATTATTTATATATATATATTTTTTTTTTTTTTTGACTTGGCCATAATGCCTCTGGAATTTGGCTCTCCAGCTATCTCCAAAGCCATGTTCAGCAGCTACCAACAGACCATTGGGACGTAGGACCTGTTCCTCCAAGATGCACCCATTCCATATGGCCTCCCTGGCCTGGTCTTCAGCTGGCCAAGAACATTGCAGGTCAGAAAACTCAGGTGCTACCTCATTATTCCCATCACGCACTAATCCAGACTACTCTACTCTGCCTACCTCTCCCTACCCTATTCCATCCTCCACGGTTGTCAGGACCAGTATATCTCAAATCTTGCTTTTAAGGACATGGAGTAACTGCACAAGACATTTGTGTGGCAGCTGGAAAGCACTGAGAAAGCACTGGCAACAGAACACGTAGTTGGTGCTAAAAGGGGGGGATCGACACAGTTCAGAGAGGGTCTACTGGGGAAATGGAACACTGGTGAAGTGGCTTTTGAAGACACATAGCCCCTAAACTGCAGATGACTAAAAGCTTTTGGGAGCTGACCTCTAAATGCAGTTCCTCAAGGGACTGTTTGGATGACTCATTTGGGTGGTTCTTGCTCAGTGCTTTCATTGTATGGGAAGTTCATTAAACAGAATTGACCACGGATGGAATTCCAAACAAGTCAATGGACTGAGATGAGGGATGAACATGACACATTACCACTTTGCAGCTCAGTACCTCAAAACCCAGAGGAGCCTGTCCTTCTTGGCCTCCAATCATGGAAGGTAAAAACCCAAAAATTTTGTCCACCATTTCTTGGTCACTGATAACATCATAACTTGTTGGTCTACTGGCAAGAGCATTATTCTTCCTTTGTCTAGCTTCAATCTCCTCTCTCTCCAGAGCAGCCAGGTGTTCCTTTAAACATAGAAGTTGGTTAAGCATGACTGGAACATCATTCAGCTAGAATGAATGGGTGCGAGGACGAAAGGCAATTACAAAACTGTCATGACAGTGAGATGTAGCTCTGCCAGTGCCTAATGTGAAACCAAATGTTACTTGTGTTAAGCAGTCACAAAGACCTAGCACATCAGCAGCTTGCACTAACAGCTGTCCTTATAGGTTGTTGGCCTATAAGTTATAATGCAATTTTCAAGAACTGTATCATCAAGCAATGCTACAGAAAAAACATAGAATTCCTAACTTAGCATGAAAAAACCACATTATTTAAATTTTAAAAATGTTTTGTGTCAGGAGACCATAATAGCATGTGCATGTTTGTCTGAAGTGCCCCTCATACTCCCGACAGAAACACGCATGTGTTTTGTGGCTTGGCCCATTTCTAAATCATCCTTACAAGTTTGTTTACAACAACAACAACACATGCACTTTTTACTATCCTGTGAAATATACCAGGGTGCAGCTCTTTGAACAAGTCCGCACGTGTGAGCTGGACAAGCTGTCTTGTTGGGCACACAACGCAGCATTTGGTGTTCCTCAGTCCACGTACCTACCTTTTCTAACCTCATAGCTTCTTCCCTTGCCTTCACTGGTCCAAGGACTTGGATGAGACGTTTCTCCTCTTCCAAGCGGATATTCCTGGCTTCCAGCCTGCACTCGTTCTGTGGACAAGAGGACCATTCTGTGACCATTTCCATACCTGCTGGGCTGGCTCCCTTCTGCCGTTAATCAGCTGCCCACACCAGGACACCAGGGGATGCTCAGTTCTGGCTTTGGCATTTTAGGGAACAAGCCACAGGTATTTGCAAACTGGATTTGTCCTGTTTGTACAGCATCTAATGCAGAAGGAAACCACAAGAAGAACTCCCATGTGCTACGGACAGCCAAGGTAATAAATATAGGATTTTTCTGGCAGTGCATCCCAAGATACACAACATCTGGTTTCCCTCATGATTGGCTCCCTAAGAGACATTATCAGGTCTTGCTGGAGAAAGTGATCTTCCTTTGCAGTAGTGACTGATGCATATGCAAATCTTCTTATCTTTTCTCCTCCCTTCTGTCAAAAATATTTCTGCTTGGTCAGTGTGGTTCTGATGAGACTAAATTCGTGATGAGCACAGAAAGCAAGCATAAACAACGTCAGCCCATTTAAGACTCTGCTTTCATATCTGACAAGAGCTCATACCTGTCAGCAGGCTAACCTCAGAAGTCTACACCCAAAATAAATATCTACATCCAGTGCTATGGCAACACTTGCTGGTAGTTAAATGTCTATCAGAACCTCATAGAAACAACATCATCACAAGGTATCTGAACGGATGTGCGTACCTCTCTCTTCATCCTCTGGTAACGTTGGCGCGCAAACATGCCCCTTGCATATGCCTGTATAACACATACAGCTTTCTTCTGTTCTGCTATCTTTTTACGCATTAGATAACCACGGCACAAGGCTTGAAACCTGATGACATGACCTCGGGCTGTTTCATACTGTTTAGCAAGCTGCCGGCTCCGGATGAGGGCCTGCAAGCGCCCAAACCCCAGCAGAATCTGTAGCAGGTGGAGAAAAAGAAGAGGTTATGGCTCAAAGCCCATAAGACTGGGACTAAGTTGGGATGAGTAGATGATAACAAAATTCAATAACTGGAGAGAGATACTGGAAGGGGTTATGGGACACTGCCACCTAAGAGAATGTTTTATTTTCTGCCAATGATAGGCTTTTAAAACTAGATTATACAGAATTCTCTCGGGGCCTTCTAGGGAGTGGCTCCAGGAAGCAACAGTGATAGCCCTGAGATTATTGCAAGGTAAGGGAGAAAACAGAAATGAAGCCAAGTGACTGGAGAAAATGGCATGGCCTTGAGACAGATGGGTGTGACAAGCCCAAGGAAAAACAACAGAAGGGGAGCGCAGGGCAAGAGACTGGCTCTTCAGGCAGGAACTGTGTCACTTTGTGGAAAATAGAAAATGTTTCTAATTGAAAATGGCATTTTCTCCTTCTGGCCCTCGAGAATGGGATGTTCTCTTATATTGTAATAATAATTCTTCCCACACAAACACACAATACATGAGAGCCTCTAATATGGTGTAGCTTTCCTTACCCACAAAACCCTCCACCTATAGAAGTTCAGCCATTATTTTCAATAATAAGAGATGGATGTGATGATAACTTTTTACAGATTTCCAGTTTTCCTGTAATAGGGGTGGCAGACACTGTGCTCACATTATGCTGGTGATGCACAAATGCTAGCCCCGGACTCCTGGCTGGAAGAAATGTGGGAGCACTCGAGTGCCAGGTCGCTGGAGCCAGCCCTGGCAAAGGTTAGCTGATTTACCATTTCACCACAAAGCAGGAATGTCACAGGTTCAGTAAGCCCTGAGATGCCCCAGGGCCCTCCTTGGACCCAGCAAATCCCTTCTTTACACCCTGCCATTTGCCTCTCTCCCCTTCATTTCTAAGTGTCTTAGTTCCTAATACTCCACTCAGCCCCGCAAAGCATAGCATATAAATATATATATATATGCACCTCTTACCATTCTGAAGTCCTTCCGGCAGCAGTAGCCTCGCCAGGCTGTCTGAATGGTGACAGCAGACTTCCTCTGTTTCAGAAATTGCTTCCTAAGCAAATAGACAGGTGAGGTGACAAGCAACAGGTTATTTCTGCCGCTGCTTATGATAAATTGAGAGAAGAATGAGGTGGTGGCTTTTTTTCTCTTGCATGGGATACCTACGCTCTGGTCTCAGCCCTGCCTCCTGTCTAGGGACACTAGAGCCAGGAAAGCGATCATTAAACTAACTGGCTCAGTTATTAGTAGATAACTTGCCAGGGCAAGTGCGGAGCTCAGTGAGGTCTATTCTTCCTGCTTCCAAGTAGCCCAAGAAAAGCATTGTGTTGCAGCAGAAAGTTCAAGCTGGTCAGATACTGTTGTGGCACATGCTGCAAAAATATCCTCAATCCCAGCATTTTGTCTGCTCATTTTGTCTTCCTCATGCTGATAGACAGGCCAGAAGAGGCTGTTTTGCCTGACCTTTGCTGTAACACAGGCCTTGAGGGATTTTCCCTAGGCTCAGCTTATTCTGCAAGTGAAGCAGCAGCATCAGTTAGTGGAGCTCTTCGTAGCGTTTTCATGTTTGCTTTGCTAACCATTTGCTGGCAGAAAGGATGAGATAAAAGTATTACTAATCCACCTTGATACATCTCAGCTCACTGCAAAAGCGCTCATAGCAACTGCAGACCAAGTTCATTGCTGCAATAGAAGAGGTCTATAAGAACTGAAATTGCCCTCACATCAGGCCTGGGTAAGTTAACTCCCCCACTTTATCATCTCTTGTTCCCCAGTGTCCCGACTTCCAGGGCTAGGAGCTGTCTAAACAAGATGAACTTTCTGTGGTAAAAGCTATCACCAACTGTGGCTGCTAGAAGTGGCACATAGCTTTGATGGTCTAAGAATAAAACTGAGGTGAGGTGAGGGAGAAGTGATGCTCTTTGTTAGGTAGCAGGCAGAGTTTAAAAAAAAAAAGGGAGTTTTGGGGCATTTGTGTCATTCTTTATAATTCTTGCTTCTCCACTGTTAGGAACATTTTTAAACTAAACTAGGAGTTAGTCCTACATCATAGTTCTGGTTAGGCCATATAAGATTAGTAAGCACAAATCGTGATGTAAAGCATTTAATGAGAACAAACATTTACTTGACTTGCCTTCTCTTCTGAAGGCATTTCAAACTAAATCAGGCAAAATACAAGAATTGTGCATCTTTGGCATGGAGAAGGACTATTTAGTTTCCTGTCTAGTTCTTTTCTACCTATATCTTGTATCAAAGAAGCATCATAAAGAAAAGGTTCCTTGTAGCTCTGAGATGAACATAGATTGCATGGAGACTTCCTGCTTTCCCAATACTGATCTCTACCATTCACTAGAAATACGGAGTGCAAATCCTCCTTCCAACCCTTCCTCCCAATATAAGCTGCATGTGCAGAAGCCCTGCATTTTGAAAAGTATCATGATGATAAAGAAACTGAGACAGAACAAATGTTTGTGCAAAATCTGCCTAGATAAACTGTGTGTTGTTACATGATAAGAACTGAATTTAGGGCTAACGAAAGGTATGGAGTGATACATTTCATATGTGAAAATGCTTTACTTAGAGGTCAAAACACAGCACAAATATTAATGTTTCAGACCAAAGCAAATTCTCTTCTTTAATGTCACTGACCTGTCTTTAACTCCTCTCATCACCTTCTGGATAAGAAGAACCTTATCTGTAAGTACCTTGTGTCGTTGCAGCTCTAATACCATATCATGATAATCCTGTTAAAGGAAAATATGGGCATGTTAATAGAACAGAAACCCCCACAACTTCTGGAAACTGGACACATGTTCTGAAAGAGGCCCAGACTCGGCATGAGACAGTGCCAGCTGGGATTGAAACACATCTGTGAGACTGCACTAAGAAGAGGGTGCACCAGCTGACTACGCTGTTTCTGGCTGTAGCCATAAACCAGCACATAGTGTGCCTACAGTAAGACTGCCTTTTCCAGGGGGATAAGGGCAAGGAAGTCCCTGCAACAGTGTGCTGGCCTCCAGTTCTTTATGCTCCTGAGCTTGAGCAAGACCAATGCATTGCACTGGGCTGTTTCAGCTGTACCACTGGCACACAGGAAGAGGATCAGCCTCTCCTAAACCAAGCTAATATCCATCAATTTACTTGGGGAGCAAAGAACCCCTCAGATTCAAGAGAGAGTTTATAAGAGAATCTAGTCCTTCTGGGTCACCATTCTTTCACAGGCAGGTCAAGCTTTACTCTGAAGCACCCAGTTTTTCAGAACAGGTTATAAGCTGTCATTTTACTTACTTTAAAGAAAATCTTTGTCCTTCCAACTTGCCAGCCTTCATCCTTGCCCAGCACCGCTTCGGAGATGCTGATGCAGCACTGGCGAGCATCATTCTTCAGCTGATGTGCAAAAGCATCATCAGGTTAGGGCTTAGTGGCAAACACAGCAGCTTTACTAGGTAAAGATCTATTGCTCTGCGTTTCAAAGGGCAAAGAACAGAAATGGATGAGGTCTGACAGACCTCAGGGCTGACAATACAGTGAATGAAAGTGGTTCCGTTCCAGTGGTCAGGGAAAGGAGGAACATTAGGGCTTGGCCAAGCATTCGAGAGTTCAAATGCCAAGAGGATGTCAGAGAGACCTCAGAAGTGTGTGACTACAGAAAAGAAACATCTCAGAGCAATGGGGATGCCACCCTGCCTGGGACATCTGTGTGGAGCAAGTCCACGTTAACCAGACCTAAAAGCACCTCTACTGTTTCAGCTAAGGTCCAAGTGAGGATATAAGTATTTAACTGCAGTTACTCTGATGACAGCTCTCTCAGCTGTGCCAGCAGTAATCCAAGAGCTTTCTTTTCTGGGAAAGACTAAAGCCTTATAAGGAGAAGTTAAATTTGTCTTAAACCAAGTTTGTGCTCGCACACCTGTTCTCGAACAGACCCTGGCAGGAGAACTCTGTATCTCTCAAAGAACTCCTCAAAGCTGTAGCGAATTGGGTAGCCAGCTTTCCTGATCCGAATGGTCTCCATCATCCCCGAATACCGCAGCTGTTGGATACACAGCTCCCGGTCAAACAGCTGGAAGGGAAGGCAGACAAGGAGGAGACTTAGCACAGCAAGAAGCTGCACGTGCAGCATTCTCAGCACACCTCTATTAACCTCTGGCCTCGGAGTGCCTGCAGAATGGCATAGTATACTTTTCTTAATTGCATTTCTTATTTCAGTGGCCTAAATTAATTAATTTCAGGTGTAAACAAGTCTTTTTAAAGAGTCTTTAAATTTGAGTTTATCACAAATTTGATGAACAGTGTAAACAGTCCATTAACTTTGGTCTGGCTTTAACAACCGTTTCCAATTCTGTCACTGCAATTTCAGATGAACAATAAAGTGCTCATATCATTTTGCCCATGCAAATAACTACAGTAGCAACTTATGCCCTTTGGGCATAGCCATGAAAAGCACAGCATGAGGGCTGCTAGTCTCCTGTAATGCAGAATAAAAATAGGCTCACTAAACCATATGCGGTACTTTGAGACAGATTAAGTCACTTGACCAACACTATTTGAGGATTGTGTGCAGAACGAGTTTGTGATCGCCTGAGTTCCAGCCAAGCATCTTACTAACAAGCTTGCTCCTCTTCTGTAGTGTCGACTCAAGGCGCACCTCCTCTCTGTCAAACACCACCACCACCCCTAGCTATTTCATTCTATCATAATTGCTGGATCTTAACTTTTTCACTTGTTCCCTTTATAGGGGACTAGAAATTCTCATGTTCTCTCTTTTTTCTTTATAGGGATGGCTTTTACAATTCCTTCAGGAATACACCTATGTGCTTTTTTTTTAACATCCTATCAATCTATGGTGCTTTTAGAGATGCTTTTATAAATTAACTTTGCTATAGCCTACTGCCCTTTTTATTGCTGTAATAGCTCATACTCCAGCTCTTTTTGGCTGAGGTGCAGATATCAAATGCTACACAGCAGTGGACAGCTTTTTCTCATTATGAATTTACTGAAGACAAGACCTCGTACTGTTAAAGCATTACCAGTGGTTTCTTGAAGTCATTCGGTTTGATGCAGCGGATGAAGTATGGCTGGCACTGACCAAGGATTTTCATCAGCTGCTCCAAGGATTGCTTGAACTGTCCCCCCAGAGTAGAGAGCCGTTTGGTGGTATCCAAGCCCTGGGAAGAGTAAGCACATGCTCACTGCTCTATCATTCACTGTCAGGGAGCAAATTAATACATTTTTGTATTTTTGTACCATGTCAGAAAAGGTTAGTTACCTGCATGGGAGCTAAATCTGCCATCTGTATGGTATTAATTTGGGGTTATTCTTGCAAATAACCTCATTGAGCTCCTTGACCTACCTGGGGCATTACGTTCTAGTGGTAGCAGGGAGTTGTGGTGAAAGAAAATCCACCCACAGGAGCCCACAAAGCCTTGTCTCTTCCAACCAAGGCTGTGTTTAGTGTAGGGTCTGGGTGCCAAGCTGTTATTCGTGGGTGTATGCCTGCAAGCTTGGTGAGAAACAACCACTCCCAAGGCAGTAATAACCTCCAGGCCAGACGTTTTGTTTGTAGCTCATGACCAACTGGGGCTGCTAAGGATCCAAGCAGCTCAGTCCTTAATGATTAGGATGACTGGTCTCCTTGCTCAATATTACCACAGTAAGTAGTGACAAGGCAAACATTTAATGGAGGATAAGCTATGAGCTACTCTGTATACAGCTGTAGATGCAGTGCTCTATGTCTCACAGCTCCCAGGCTGCATTTTGCTCCCAGCTGCAATAGTGTAACCCCAGAGGGATCGCAGGAAGCTACAGCTCACTCTGGATTTCCCCAGCTTCTCTGAAAGCACACTTCTGCCTCTGTCTTTTTCACACAGAGCATTGCAATGGGCCTTAAATTCTACCTCCCAGAATGTTTTTTTTTAGGGGACATTAAATTATGGTGACAATAGTGCATGTTCCTAGTAACAGAAAGGGTTCCACTCGTCTTTTCCATACAGGCTACTTATAAGCTTGGAGGTAATAACTGCAGCACTATACAGGTAGGTATAAAGGTTTGGGGTTTTTTTGAAATAAATAAACCATTTAAAGTCCAGTGGTTGCCCTCTCATAGTCCTCATGGTACCTCACTTTGCTGGTCCTTACGTTTAAAGTGCCATTATTAACACTCAAGTTGCCACCCTCTGCTTTAGCTACAGAGCAATGCTGCCCTCAAGCGACAAAACGCTTGTGTGTTTGGAAAACTGTTCTTGGGAATGTCTCTCTAATACATTTTAGAGCTAGCAAGCACCTGTTTGAAGTAGTTATAATGGCAAATACATATTTAAGCAGTATGAAAGCTAAAGCAATTTGCACCTTAGAGGCCTTTCTGTTGTACCGGTGTATCAGTGAGATGGCCACAGGGGGCTGGAGCCCATGCCCTCGTGGTCTCACAGACTACCTTTAGACATGCCAGTGTTGAAGTTCAACTTGTTGCTGGGGGTGATGGTGAATTTTCTCCCCTAGTGACTGAGGAGAGCAACTGTGAGACATCAGAACAGCAAAACTGTTTCCAGCACTTCATCCACTATTCTTCTCTATAGACTTCCCAACAAGGGCCTCACCTATTTGAAATTAGTCAGTTTTTCAGCTGACATTTATGCATTTTGAAACGGGTAGTAACCCCCATTTAGTGGTTCCTTTCTTGACATGCTGCTGTTATTTCTAAATGTTCTAAGGAAAGGCTTTTCCCAATAACACAATCTTCTTTAAAGAGACAAAAACCATTAAGGCATTAAAGCAATGTAGATAGACTTCATATATAATCTCAAGGTATTCATAACATTTAAGAGATGCTGAGCCAGTTCTCTTTTGCTGTTTGTTCCTTTTCTGACTTTTTTCTCCCTCAGGTTATTTACCTGTCCATGGCCAGATGTTCTAGACAGCAGAAAGCCACATTGGGATAAAGACTGAGGAAGAAAGAACAGGATCAGAAAACAGAGCCAGGAGAGTAGGCAGATAAAAGGTATTATAGCAAGCTGACTATTTGCTCTATACCCTGAGAGGGAAACTCAAGAGATATAAGCATTAAAAGCAAAGGTACCTTCATACAGTGCTGACACTGCACAGTTAAATGCTCAGAAATCAAGATATGTAAAAGCTGCAGCAGGGCAGAGAACTTGAACTCTGCCTATGCTGTTCCCAGACCTCTGCGCTTTACAGTCTCTTTTTCACTGGATACAGGACAAAGCTCCCTACACCATTAGACACAGATGTTTCTGCAGTAATTAGCAATCTTTATGAACTTTTTCATAAAACCTCTGGGCCAAGAGGAAGAGCTGAAGTCGCAGCAGTATGCAGGGCAGGGAGATTGTGCCTCCAGGTGTCACTGGCAGCAGGAGGGAGTGTGGCTCTTCTGTGACAGTGCAGCTATTTGCTCCTATGTGCTAGCCTGTCACCCCTCTGCAAGAAGAGACAGGCTAGGACTGTCCTGCCAGTTGCCGTGCCAGACTGCTTTGTTTTACAGCCACAGCAGGCTGGCTACACATGCAGTATGGCAGCAGTTTAGCTGCTGGCTTCTGGACAGGTACTGGCTTTGCAGAGGGGCCTCTGTTTGGTTCCTTGCCCTGTTCAGACAGACCCTCTGGACTGCAATTTGCTCCTACTCATTTACACCCCTTTTGGCTGTGTGGGCGCAGAGTATGGATGCCCAGGCAGACACAAAGAAAACCCACCCATTTGCTGGCCACATGTGGGGAGGTAGCACAACTCATGCTTTTGTGAGAGGTTGCAGGCATGGCCACACAGATGTCTTCTAGCCTTTGTTACCCAGGAGACAGGCTGACATTACAGTTGTCTACAGCATGAATGCCAGACCCTGGCTGCTCCTGCAGACTCTCTTGCAAAAATCAGTTGAAGGAAAAGGGAGAGCGATTTGCAGAGACAGTGCAAAACGAAGAGGCCAAGAGCAGCCAGAGCCTTACGGAAGGGACCAGAGATTGATTGTTTTTGCAACCTACTGCCAATAAGCCAACCTTGTAGGACTGGTCACCTCCAAGATGCCTGATGGTCCCACGTCCAAGAGTAGGTGGGGTTGTTTCCACCTGGAAAATCTGCCTCAGGAATTTGTTTTTGGAGGAATGGACCACTTGCATTACATTAGCACTCAGTGTGTCCCGGTTTTTCTCCAGTAAATCTATAAGATGGAAACAAAATCAGCTTGTGATCTCTGCAGCGTGCTGGCTTTAGGCCAACTCTCTATTTAAAATCCACCTCATTTACAGTAACTTGCAGATTAGTTTAAAGTAATCCTCCTGACCTCCTGACTTCAACTAAGCAAATCTGGAGGTTATGTACTCTCACACTGAGAAGCCAGAGATCAACATTACCCCGAGTGCCATACACCCAGGGCAAGTCACGTCCTCCAAATCCAGCAGAAACAGGCTTACCTTTTGATTGATAAAAGACAACCCCAGCAAAGTGGTTGATACCAAACTTGGTGTCATGGACACTCTTAGGCGGGATGTAGACGTTACTTTTGCCATGCAGGGAATTGATTTTGACAAGCATGGTAGCATCTGTGCCCTAGGAATAAACACAGGCAGAAAAGGACAGTAGATTCCCCCTGACAGCGCTGGCCAGGCTCCATGAACAAATAGAAGAACAACAAAGGCTTAAATCCTGCCCCTGATTTGTGTAGTAGATCTGGAAGAAGGTGGTGCTAGAAGTGTCTTCCCTTTTACAAAGACCATTTTCTCAAGCACCCAGATAGAACAGAGCACCAGAGGGTAAGGCCTCATATTTCAGGGCCACATGCAAGTCCCTATAGCATTGCTAACATCACCAGGTGTGCTAAGAATTTTCCAAACCTTTGGGGCTCACAAACACAGTGGGGACCACCTTCCTCTCTGTGCATGCCCCTCTCAAATTGCTGCCTGAGGGCTACAAAGGAGCTGAGGCAAGGGCTTGCTCTTCTGGACAAGCCCATGTTGCTATCTGAGCCCTGTACCAACCAATAACCAATTCTGCTTAGCCTCACCATGCTCTGGAGAGTATAAAAACCCTCTGCAGAGATGTTTGAGATCAGATGCTACTTTAATCTCTGGTGTCCTGTTTGAGATGCCTGGCCTTTGCAGAATAACATTTCTTCACAATGCTGACAATACTCAAATGAGTCTGTCACCTAGGAGAAGAAAGAGCAAACTACAGCCCAGACCAACAGCAGAACAATACTCAAACAATGTTTACATCCAAATATTTCCTGAAAAGTCACTGTAAATGATCAGGACTCTTTCCTTCTCTGGCTGGAACAACCAAAGAGTTTTGACAGCAAGGTATCAGGAAGAGCATATGCTAGCAGCAAATGCAGCACCTACATAGTGAGCTAATTTAAAAGGGACATTTGTGAGGAGAAGACACTGCCTCTCAGAATGTCTCTGAAAGCCTCCTTTGCACTTTCCTGTGTGCAAAGCCAAGCATTACTGTGACCAGGTGCTCACCTTTGGGAACTTGCTCTCTTCATCAATGAGGGAGATGATGTTCATTGGCTTGAGTGCAATGATATCCAGAGCCTGGTGGTTATCAGTGAAGTCAATGTTATTCCAGACAATGTGCTCTGCAAGGTATTCCTCTTGTTCCAGCTTGAAGACATGGTGCACGAAGAACTGCTGAAGGTGTTCATTGGCAATGTTAATGCAGAGCTGCTCAAAGCTGTGGGGGGACAAGATGGGGACCCATGGTCATCTCTATACCCTGGCAAGTGCTGCACTGCTCTGTGGTATTTGTTTAGTCTCTGCATTAATGCGTATACAGATATACTACTGCTATATTCTACAGTGTTAATGATCACCACCGCTGCATGTTGTCACCCTAACTACATAAGGGACACAACTGGTCTTCTGCTATGATCATCATGACCAGAACGAGCCAGCTGATGACAGAGTGTTGCTGGTTAAGCAGGGAAAGATGTTATATATGTTTTAAGAAACTCTAGAGATAATGGGGAACATCTGACTGTGAAAATACTATAAATGATGATATGAGTGTGTGACTCATTCTTACCTGCACTTGCAGTAACATTTCTTTTGTCAGTTAGTCCTGAATGCTGCCCCTGAGGTTAACTACCTGGTAATTGCTGTGGCATGCTGTGTGTGCCTGTGCAGTGCTTACCACAGTGAGGCCCCGTTTGGATTGCAGCCTTTGGGAACAATATCAAGTAATAGAAAAGAACATAACAGATAGAAGATACGTTTGAACAGTTCCAAAAGTCAGTGGGAGATAGGATCTTGCTGATAGCAAGCTAGATGAACAGGCTGAAATGAATTGGAAAAAGATCTCCATGAAGAATTAAAAAGAGAATGAAAAGAGTGGAACATTTTAGGCCACATGTCAAAGAGGAACAACAAAGGTGGAAGAGCAAAAGCAATAATAATAATAACAATATTTGGTACAGTCATTTATCACATATTCCACTGACATTAGCATGCCCAGCTGCAATAGTGCTCACATATTTTCAGGGCCACATCATGGAGGAAGCTTCTCTACTATGGTTGTGAAGTTCACAGATTGCAGAGTATGCGCTGTTGGTTTGTGGAGTGCTGGCTGACTATATGGTACCAGGCCACTGAGAGAATTGCTGCTCCAGTGGAGAAGGGCAAACAGAAATGGTGCCTTTGGACAGAAACCAGCAGTGGGAGAGGCAGCAGTGGGACAATGGTATACCAGCCAGACATTTTGGTAGCACGTTCTTAACAGCAGGGAAATGAAGCAGCACAGAGAAAGGGGCAGGAGAACACTAAGCAAGATGGAAGCATGAGCTGAAATGGGAAACACACCACAGCCTCCATTGTACTGTGTACAAAACATATCCCAGGAAACATTGTAAAAATGCTATGGAATAGGAAAGTTAGGTACAGGGACATGGGAACATACTATATCTGCTCACATAAGGGCTGCCTCCCTTTCAGCAGCTGCACAGCCATCACTTCGAAGCAAATTCCTCAGATTTTGGAATAGACCTGTGCAATAGCTGCCGTATAATGAAGGCCGGGGGAGGAGAGAGAAGTGAGACCAAGGCTGAACAAAATGGTATCTGTGCAAGATTGTCACTGGGAAAATTCAAGGATGGAAATTTCACCGCTTCTCTGAGAATCAGGATGGTAATGAAAGAACACTCATCTGTTCTTTCTTTCCCTTGACATCAGCTGCTTTTCAGCTCCTCAGAAGAAATGAATCTGGAGGCTCCTACCTGTTGTTGTTAAAGTTTTCAAACCCAAAAATGTCCAACAGCCCAATGGACTGCCGTGTATTTTTAGGGTTCTGAGAAGCTGGGTTGAAAATGGCTGAGTTGATCTTGTTCACTATCCACAGGAAAATCTTTCCATATATACCCTGGGGAAAAATTAAGAGGAAGTAAAAGCCCATCATTAGTCTTTGACATATCCTACTGCTTGCTGTTGTGCTGCCACAGTGAAGTCAAACTATGCCTGAAGACTGACAGAGACCAGAGCCCTGTGGGTGAATGTTTGCCACATCAGGCGCTTGAACCATTAAGAGAGATGGCTCTGAAAGCATCTGCCATCTTTAAATAGAGGAGATGTAAGCACCAGTACCTTCACAAAGGCATCTCTCCCATCCGCAGCTTGAACTATGCTCAGAGGCCTGGAAACACTTTCTCCTCGGATAATGATGGAGTGGCTTGTGAGGCTGTTCTGGAGTTCACTGGAGTCCACCTGGAGGAAGAGTCATGGCAACCTGGTCATTCTAGGTGTGATGGATACAGGATACCCAGCAAAGAAAGCCTATCTCAGGAAGAGGGCTGCGCAGACGGTAGAGACAAACGGCCTGTCCAGCAGGGTTCAAAAGAGGCCTGTTCTGGAAAAATCTCCTAGCTCAGAGAGACATCTGCAACAGCAACACTTGAGTATCAGCAAGAAGAAGGGGACATGCCCTTTCCACGTGCATCCATACATAAACAAATGCTCCACAGAGACATTGTCAATGTGATCAGGGAGCGAGGGTGAAGAAGAGAACTAGAAGAAGATGAGAGTCCGTTACCTCAAGCAATTTGGCTGCAATCGAAAAGTGTGGTGAGTCCATCACATCAGAGCAGTCCAAGTTATCGTACACAGCCGCTAGAATGAGGAAACAGCCAATCTCAGGGTGAATCATTTCAGCTACAGTGGGAGGCTACGCTGTTATTGCAGCCATATTTCTGTAACCCTGTAGCTCTGTGAATGTGGTAAGTCAGAAGTTTCCTGACAGAACTCTGAGGTTTGAGGATTTTCTGATTTCACCTAGGGATCCTGGGATGTACAGAGCCCTCACAAACTCAGAACATTAGGCTTCTTGCCCTGGCCTCAGAAATACAGCAACCCTGGAGGCTAAAAACAGCAGCAAAACTCACAAGCATGTTACTTTTAAACTGTAGCTACTGGGGTCTGGGGAAGTGGTATCTGACTTCAGAAAATGTTTCTGAAAACAATTTCTTCCTAGTGTCTGGTTTATGGGAAATTTAGAAAATGAAAACATAAAAATTGTTTCCTGCATAAAAGAAATCCCACATTTTAGTAGCCACCTTTACTCCACAGAACCCAACTGGCATCACTGTATTGGATCCCCTGTATCACAAAGGGAGCAAGAGCCCCCTTCTAAAAGGTCAGAGCTCCTGGTGACTGTATCTGTGACAGACTGTGCCTGTGCCATAAAAGAAGTGCATTTGCGCTAGGTGAGTGTTCATCAAACCCAGCCAGGAAAATGATTGCTATCATCTCCACCGCATGCATGACTCAGCTGCTTCTCTGTCCTCCAGCTTGCGTAGCACTACCATCAGGAAATGTTAACATGGCATTATATTATCTAGTGTTTCAGTTTGTGTGATAAGGGCCTATTTATAACCATGAAAACCTGACAGCAAGATAAAATAATAAGGTGATGTCTTTCAAAACAGCAACCAGTGGAGTCACAAAACAGAATTGCATGGTGTTTATCTGCCTGCCCTTCCAACCCTGTTCACCCACTCATTTACACAGGGCAGGCAAGCACAACCCAGTCTGTACAAAGGAGGCAGGCAGCACCTCTAGGCTTTTAACATCGAGTCTGAGGAAAGGCCAAGCACAGACGACGCCAAGTCTACCTTCAAATTCCACGTTCCCCAAGTGCAGGATAGCAGCCAGCAGTTTGCTGATGTCCCAGTGCTCAGAATCCGAGAACATGAGGATCTTCATAGCAGAGCGAATGTGGGCATACTCCTTTGCGTCATTCCTGCCATCGCAGGACGTGCAGTCGCCCTGCGTGACATCACACCCACAGGTAAGGAAAACCCTCCCTGTGCTGATGCAGCAGAGGAAGGACCTGCAGGCTGACAAACTCTTGTACGCAGCGTGGAGGCCCTGTGAGCCAGCCACTGCAAGACCCAAGATACAAGCTGATTTAGACTTTCTTTTTGTTCTTCCCATGCCTGTTTTTTCCCTCAACTCTACTCCCCAGAAGAACCCATTAGCAAGGGGCTATGTAATGCATTTTTCTGGGGCTGGGCTGAATCCTGGGGAAGCCAAAAGGAAAAGTGGAGGGGAAGGCTTCTCTGGAGCATGGAAGGATAGAGAACTTTCACATGCCTACCTACACTGACAAGACCATGTCTTTTTCCTCAGTTCTCCTCTCTCTGCCTTGTCAATGGATAACTCAGAGCCCTAATCCCAAATCAAAGCAAGTAGGATTGGGACAATGGTAAAAAGGAAATCAGAAAATGTGAATGATAAGGTTGAGTGGAAGACAGACAGAAGCATCCAAAGGCAGAACCAGGAAAACCTTCAGCAAAGCCTGCACAGCAGATTCTTGGACGCTGCTCCTAATACAAGCTATTTTCAACCCTACTGGAGATGGAGAAAAGTCTCTTCTATCCCTGTTATCACCAGTGATAGGGCGTGATGATTACAGAAGTGAAGCTTTCCTAGATGTTTCTGTTTACAGCATGGAGAACAGCTACTTTGGCCAACAGCTGACCTGAATAAAAATCTCACCTACGAACACATCCCATTCCTGCCACTACAGCAACATAAACCCAGACCGAGGCATTTACATTAGTTGCTGGAGATTAGATTGAATGCCACCTTCCTGCATTATGTACATAAAATTCATCAGATATAACAACTAGGATCCTTGGCATTGTTTCTACTATGAACATTTTGCATTTGCCTATTCATTTTCCCCTGAGGTTTATATACCTGATTAGTATTCTCCCTGGTGTGAGATCCCTTGAATTCATCTAAAATCTGAGTGCCTGTGAAAGTGGGGGATATTTACCACCTGCTTCAAGATGCCCTTGATCTTCCTTAAGGCTGACTTTGATAGAAAGCTTTGAACTGCCACAAGCTGCCTCCCACTGGCAGATACATTACAATAAGTCTCTGAAACTGAGGCTCACAGCACTTCTGGTGTTACTGCTTCTGGTACTCTAAGGAAGGGGCAATTCATTTTCGCTAACTACCCATCCGTAGCTCCTATTCATTGCACTTCCTTGCTGGGAGAAGCAAATGGCAGATGGGTAACAGAGAAGAAAGCAGAGTCTGTTACCATAGTGAGATAAGTATACTCTGAAGCAGTGCCCAGATTCAACATCTTTTTCTGCTCCATATTCATCCCCATGAGCATGCAGTAGAAGATGTGATAGTTCCTCTCCTCTGGAGCCTAGAAAGAAAGAAAGAGGCCAGTGGACAGACTTGTGAACACAGATTCGTAGCACCGGAGCAGGAAGAATGGACTTCTGCATGTGCCCTTACCTGCCAGCAAACCCGGGACTTCTCCAGAAGAAACTGTTCTATTCGGGCTCCTTCTATCACACCATTTCGGTTGAAATGGATATCAATGTATTTCCCAAAGCGGCTTGAATTGTCATTTCGAATTGTCTTGGCATTTCCAAAAGCTGATGGATAAGGATTATCGCAGTTAATGAACATCAAGTCTATTTTTGATGCCCTTGTTTTTCTTTTTTCTGCTGGTATTTTACATGTTGTGCTCCAAAAAACAGTTCATTGAGAATATCTGGTCTCAGACTGCCTCCTGAAGAGAGGAGCAGGCATACTCTGCATCCGGATAATTGTGCCCTAAAAGACATATCCAGATGACCCACCTGTGCCCTATATCTGGTCAACCAAGAGGACCAGGCAGCTCTGACGACCTTCAGATGAACTTGTTGGGAGGCCACTTGATCCCTCTACAGAGAAAGATGGATGTGTCAGGGAGTTCCCCAGAGGTATGGCCATGCTGGGCTAGTCACGTTGTCACTGTCTGGTGCAAATGCCAACCATGGGGCTTTACCAAAAGGGCTCTGCATTCCCAAGGACTCATGTACTCCTGCAGTTCTGGGTTATATGCTGAGGCTGCACCTCCTCCTGCAGCATGGGAGCTGCTGTGGACCTTGTGGGAATGCGGCAGGAAAGTCTGAAGAACTTCCACCCTACATTGCTGATGGTTCAGGGATGTTAGCAGTTATGCAAATAAAATGGATCTAGGGCCTGTTCCTGAATGTTTATCCTGATACAAAAGTCTGTCAATGAGAGTGGTAAATCAGGCATTTTTGCTAAATAACCCACCTTCCAAAATGGGGTTGGCCTCTAGGATTTGCTGCTCTATCCAGGAATGCTGGCCACTGATAGCTGCCAAAAACTGCAGCATTAGCTTTGTGCTTTCAGTCTTCCCAGCTCCAGATTCTCCACTGCAATAAGAAACAAGATACATTACAGGTTTTCTTTCTTCTTTTTGGCAAGGGTGGCAAAATGGCAAACCAAGGTAAAAATATCCCAATTATATTTACCCTATGAATGGCAGATCACACTGTCTTTCATAAAGGACTAAACAATTTTAGTCTTTCACCGTCTTGTCTACTAAAAGTCAAGTAATTTTTTAGACTTAGGTTGAGAACTAAATTCTCTCACTGATTACAAATGAGCAAATCCATGGAAAATTTTCTGTACCAGTGCAAATTAAATGACCACTTGCATTTCTTCTTTAATGCATTACCAGATTCTCACTACTTCTGAGTTGCCTCAGCCATGAACAGATATTACTGCAATGAAACAATCTGACTCTTCACATTGATGCTTAACAGAAAATGGATACATGGTATATCTTTATGGGATAAAGAAAGTTTCTGTCATTTTCAGATGAGCAGAAGCTATGCTTTTCCAGGCGATCTCTATTTCCAGAAAATACATGTAATATAAGTACCGTATCCCCAAAGTAAAAGATTGCCCTACATCACTCAGGCTCATATTCTTTGTTTCTCCATGAACATGAAGTGGCTCTGTGCAGAATGTACCTCCACATTCAAAGAGTCTGGGGGAAAACAATGGACTATGGAAATCCCTTGTTTATGTTCCACTTTTTGCAGCCCTAACTGAAAATGAAGTAGCAGGAAGAAAATATTTCCTCCCTGTTATCTCTAATCTTATCTGTGCATTCCCATTAGGAAGGTGTCCTTTGTCCACAGCAGTGCCCAGAAACCATGCTAGTCTTGCTGGTTTCTGCCACTCGTCCAGTCTGAGTCCAGTCACCTGATCACACAGCACTGGTCTCTCTTATTCCTCTTCATGTTGAAGTAACAGTTGTCTGCAATGGCGAAGACATGAGGTGGCAGCTCTCCAATCCTCTTGTTACAGTACAGCTGGATCTGATCGACTGTGTAGAGGGGCAGCAGCTCGTATGGATTCACTGCTACCAAGATGGACCCTGTGTAAGTCTAGAAAACAGGTATGAGAATTACCTCTGGCAGCAAACCTGCAAACAAGAATACAAGCAGGGGTACTCGTGGTATACGGCAAGCAGAGCCAGGAGGGAAACCTGGCTGATCCATAGCAGCATTTAGGCAAGGCTAAGAGCTGGGTTCCTCGCTAGGAATTGTAATTCACTGTGTCAGGACGTGGAGGTTTTTGCAAAAGGACAAACACTAACCATAACCTCCTGGCGAAATTACAGCTCATCTCACCATCTCAAGCTAAAACATACAAAAGCTCAATTTGACATAGCATTTTCATGTGTTGTCATGAGCTATTTTGTAGTGTTATGTTAAGCTGCTTTGGTGTTTCAGTGTAGATGTAGCTGAACTTGGCTACTGGGCAAAGTTATGGTTGTGTTATATATACAGTCATTTAGTAACAGTTGTAAACAAAAGCACCATTGGAATGAAGGGGGCTGTGGAACATAAATGCAAGATAATAAAATTATTCAAGAACTTCCATATGAGACAACAGTAGACTGCTAGACACTAATGTAACAGGTCTTAACACATATCCTGGTAGTTATAACTGCAGCATCTGTCAAAATCAGTACTTGATTACACTGGACATCACCACATTTGTATTGTAAGGGGCAGCTCCTCTACTATGAAGGTTGTAGTGCATATCACATGGGAGGTAAAGAATGCAAAAATCTGAGTATTATTATCATTTTACAAAGCAAGAACTAAGGAATAAAGAAATTAAATAAGTTGCTCAAAGTCACACAGAAAATCTCTGACAGGTTTCCAAAATCTCCAGCTTTCTTCTTGGTCTACTTTATCACATCAAAATCAAGTAAACATTGACTTGGACTGGAGGACAATCCAAATCATGTCACTGTCTACTAGTTAGACAGATAACATATCACAGCTGCATGTAATAGGAGCATGTACGCTCTAGCACTAAGCGGTAACATGGACTGGAAATCTAGCTAACTGTCAATCACCACTGGAAACGATCACTCTAGGAGAGAGTAAGTGGGGTCATGCCCTATGCATATTTCAGTGATTTCAGAGACTACTATCAGCTCTCTTCTTTGCAGTCAAAGTGTTAGGATGAACGAGGACAAAAACTATGTTGAGCCTCCTAAGCATCCTCAATCAGTAAAGGAAGCAGATGTAACCATGTATGAAAAGAGGCTTGTAAGCTGCTGATCAGAACACCCGTCTGGATGTGAAGTAGAGGTCATTCCTGGCAGTACTGTGCCCTGTGACCTCGGCACTCACATAGATTTTGTGCTCCTGGTGGCGGATGAGGAGGTTATGCACCATGCCTGCTTCATGGAGATCCCCAAGGCGGATCATGTCTTCCACCCCTTGGACAGAGGAGGGGTGCATTGGGCGCACCATGTGCATGTTCTTTGCCGTGATCCAGTGCTCCTGAAAAAGGTAAGGCAGCAGTTTTGATGAGGTATAGTGTGTCTCAGAAGCAAACAAAGCAGAGAGGCATGTTAGACTGGAACGAGCTTGACTGCAATCCACACTGAAAACAGCGTGCTCTAAGTCACAGCTGACTCAACTAGAGGAATTAATAGATGTGCTGCTCCCCAGGACAGGATGATTGACAGGCCCTGGATGAAGCCACTCAGGTGAGTTCTGGACATCATCAAGTTTAGCAGTGTTTGGAGTACAGTTCTGTGTCAGTTCATCACAGCTACAGCATGCAAGAGCTAGGGGTGAAACCCCAGACAAACTGACTTTAGTGGGATCACGATTTCACCCAGAGTTCCACCAAACTTAGGGGCTGGAGCCTGTCCATTTCCTGCTTTTAGCTATGTGGATCCAACCTCTCGCTCACGATGACCTAAATCTGCGCACTGTTGGGACCTGGGAAGATATACTAGGGAAGTATCACCGCATGCTTGCCTTATTTTTATATTCTTTCTTTAAAACCATCGTCAAAGTCAGATAATTTGGCTAGATGGAGCTAGCGTCTGACGCAATATGGCCATTCTTTTGTTACCATACTTTTAAGTACGTTCTTCCTTTACAGAAGGTTATAGCATAGCCCACCTTGCCTTCATCATCCTCCAGCAAGATCCGTCCTGAGTCCGAGTCCTTCACAACTGCCCCAATAGGGACGTTAAATTCACTATTTGAATGAGTTTCCAGCCACACGTGATCACCCTGGAGAGAAGAAAAACTGTCAAGTACAGTGACATACTTGATGTCATGTAGCTCACAGGTATGCATCTCTTAGTTTTAGTTTTTTATTGCTTTGATTTCTTCTGCAAGTGTTTTTAACTGGACAAATTCTTACTGCTTACAAGCAGTACAATCTAATGGTTACAGTATCAGGACCTCTGGGTTTTATTTCCAGCTCCACAACTGTCCTGGTACGTGACTTTGGACATGTCATCAAGCCCAGCTGTTTTACAAGAGGAAATGACACAACACTTAAAAAAAGGACTGTGGTTACGCAGCTCCACTACCTCCCAGAGATTGCAGGGGGCATAGTGAATGCTTATAAAGTGCTTTGACAAACTCACATAAGCTACAGTATTCGTACAGAAAAGATACTTGAAAACAAAGACATAATCAGGGAAAAATAAAAAGATGGATAGACAAGATCCCTGGAAACGTAGATGGCTCTGCTGCAGTAGTTTTAGGTATATATTCTCTCTGCTATCACTCAAATCACTTGGAAACATGACTGCATCCATGATCTCTCTTAGGAAACAAAACCTGTATTCCTTATTTAGCCCAGCACCTCTCTTGACAGAGAGGTAAATGCTCAGGTAATATCCTGCCTACAGAGTAAACAGGCAGAACTGCTCTGCCGTCACCAGAGGGAAGGTGTGAGCTACGGCTGCTCTTTACTAGGAACGAGCACTATTTTCATGCAATCTTGGTATGGCCTCTGCTACTGTCCTGGTAATACTCCTCGAGTCCAAGCCCCTCAGAATGCCTTCTCTTGCCCCTGGCACTAATTCAAGTTCAAACAAAAAGTTTGATTTTAATGGCTAGAATGAAAATTCAATAAAGCTATAGGTCAGATCTTCGATGGGTGTAAACTGGCTCAGTTCCACTGCTCCAATGGAACTGCACCTGCTGAGGAGCCAGCTTTCTAGTGGGGTGTCTTGTCGTAATATATGCTTTGTCCCACATTATAGCATTTACTGATAAAGTTTCATTTTTTTTTCCTGAAAAATTCTTTCTTTTTTCTCTTAAAATACTTTATGGGCTTACATTTTAGAACCAAATCAACTGTAATGTAAAGCATCTGTAAGCATTGCCCAAGGTTATGAAGAATGTCACACGCTGAGAGAGTCCTGCTTTACACTGAATGAGACTCCACTGGCAATCTGTGTAGTTTCAGTGCCATCCCTTGTGGCCCAGGTCACCAGCTGAACATGAGCATGACATCTCTGCAATTACATGGATGTTATTTGGTACCCTGTTGCTAGTGGGTTACTGCTGCTTTTGTTTTTGAGCTGAACCATGTTATGGTCCTTTTCTCCTCTTTGGGCCTCAGGCTAATCATTAAATCACAACAAAGAACATGACTTACCTTTCTGAAAACCGTCATTACGTTTCAGAGCACTGTTGGCAACCTGCAATCCCAAAAAGAAGAATATGACATTATGCCAGAAAAGGTCTTGGGCTTTTTGTTCAGAACAGACAGTGGCATGGAGATGTTTACGTGTAAGAATAACAGCAAAATACCTTAATAATTCTGTTTACTGATAAAATGAAAGCAAAAGAAATTGTAAGAAAGTACACCCAATGTGGAAACAATGAAACCATCTATATGAGGCAAATCATCTGCCACACAGGTGTGGTGGTCTACTGTGAGGTCCACCACATAACCCTGGAGATGCTCTCCATCCCAAAGAAGTCACTGTGCACATTTTCACACCAAATAGTTCCCTCAATCAAACGCTAGGCATGTTTATCGGCTGAACTTCAAATTTAAGTTTCGCTTACAAATAACAAGACCCCATGCAATGCAGTGTAATTCATTACACAGAAGAGTTACCTTTGGCTAGCCCACTGACCCAGCAGCTGAGTTCTGGTGAGTGCCTAGCCCAGTGACACAGATTTAAGTCTTACTCTCTTAAGGTGCCCGGTGCACTCAGACCCTCACAGCTTGAACCTACTACCCTTTAGAAAGTGAGCTCTGGCGTGGGAGTGGTTGCAGTAAAGGCATGAACAGTAAAATAAGAAAAGTTTTAGGCTTCAAGCTCAAAAATGGCAACGTCTCCAAGGAACCACGATAGAATTAGGAGCTCAGTGTCAAGAACATAGTGAAAAGACGTGGCCAGAAACCTACACCAGTGCTCTGAATAAGTGATGATACTGTTTAGGCTGTGAGCCTGGGAACAACCAAAGAACCAAAGTCTTTAGAAGCCACGTACTGTCTTATATGCCCCAGCAGCTGGACTTCGGGAGCGATGCCAGGGATAGGTGTGGTTTGCTGGCTCCCACCCTGCTAGCGTGAGGGCTGCTACATGCCTTTGGCTGCGTGTAGGAAATCGCAGGCAGACTCTTTGCAAAGTTCACTGTAAATGTTTCCAGAGCATGAAAGGCTTCAGCTGAGTGCAAGCCCTAAGCAGCAGGTCACATTTTAAAAAGACTGAGAGATCTCTCCTCACTCGTGTGCCAACTTGCACAGTTCAAATAAAGACACTGAGGAAGGAATTAAAAATACATTTTCATTATATTAATTTAGTGGCTGATGATGGTGAATTGGTTTTCAACCTTCCATTATGCAAATAGTACTGAATAAAACCCTGATAACTTCTGAAAACTCTGCAATAATATGAGGAAGGCATATTCTCTTATCCTCCGGTGTATCACACAGGAGGAAGCTCTCCTCTGTGCTGGTGCACACAAAGAAGGGATTGCCATATGGCTCTGTTTACCCTGGGTGACTGTGTGTGCTGATCCTGGGCAAAACAATGAATTGAAGAGCAGAGTCCCTCCCACTGGCAACCTGTGCATCTGAGGAAACGAAGGCACAGCCTCAGGAGAGGAGCGTGAAGCATCTTGGGTATACATCTAATAGTCATTTGCTTTCCACTTGCTCATCCTCTCCCTGCTGCTGTTGGGTCCAGCTCACCGTAATGTGAGTTAAGTGCATCTCTCTTCCCATCAAAAGAGGCAGGGTTTTTCCTCTGCTTTCTCTTCCTACCCGCAGGAATTGTCAATGCACCTAAAGCTGTTGAGCAATCTATGACTCAATAGCTGCTGTGTGCAGTAGACATCATTTATTACCCCAAGCCTACAAAACTTCATATTCACAAGCTTCTCAGAGTGGTGTGACCAGCTCTCCTCCCTCCATTTCTCTAAAGTATCTCTCCCGCCACCCCATTTTTGCACATCCAGAAAAAAGGCTCAGCTCAGAGTTCATAATAAGAATGAAATAGTTGCAATAAGCAAAATGCTCCGTAAATAAAATGCTAACATTGCACCGAAAATAAATTCTAATTCTACCCTTTTATCATGTATTATTAATGAAGATTTTTTACTATTTTATCTCAAGCAGATTTTACAACTTCCTGCTTGGCTGAAGCTCAATGAGGATATATTGAGTCATTTGCATCCCTCTTTACACTACTGTTTGACGGCACACCTCTTGTAAATCATTTGACAAGAGGACGAGTGGACAACTCAGGACAAGAAATTGATCTTTGGCACTAATTCTAGACAGGTCCAGGATCTCTTGGAACACCCACCCATGAAGAAAAGAGAAGCTGGTTCTAGTTTTATCTTGACGCTTGAATTCAAATTTCTTATTTTCTCATAGCCTTTTGAGAAGTTATCTGGTTTTGGTCCCAAATTATGCATGTGTGCTTTTTTTGGCCAGGTTTTCTGGAAAGTTTGAGCAAAAAAAGAAGCCCCCAAATTAACCAAGTTGAAAGTTGCATGTTCTGCCAGTACTGTGCAGATGATCATGGAATCCCAGTTTGCAGTAGTACCATTAACTTTAGTGATTGATGGGATATTTCATAAATAATTTCACTGAAATCCTTGAGATTTCTTCTCTTTATCATGTGTAAAGGCTTTAATATCGTAAAGTAAAATTTATCATACTATTTACAATTCTGTGTAAGAGGGATGTATTTTTTTTCTGAGAGGTACCCAGATATCATTAATCTTCTGACTGAATCATTTCAATCATTTCATGATTTTGAATCTGATTCATTTTATGGTGGAGTTATACAAGTTTCTGAGGTATAGACTTTGCGGCTGAATTTTTAGAAAGCAGTCTTTCAAATCACTACTTTACTTTTTGGAATTCACGCTCTTGAAAAATGAGTATCACCATTTCAAAAAACTCAAGATGATGTTTGGGGATAATACTTATTTCTTCCTCTTGTTTTAATAAATGTCGATATTCAGTGGTGGAAGAAAACTTTGCAGTGAGAGAATTAGGCCTCATTTTATCATTTGCTTACCTATAGCCTGCAACTGGTTTTTTACCCATGTGATGTGGGAAAGTATACATAACTTCCATAAATTGAGGACTTTTAGATAAAACTGATGAGTGCATAAGCAACCTTTTCTTCTGAATAAATGGAGGTAACAATTATACTCCTTTATGTGAGATACTGCCACTGTCTGGATAACACCACAGTTCTAAACATAAGGAAGGCTTTACGGTAGCAAATAAGGAAACTAGGAAGTGCATGTCTGGATTCAGAGGGAAAAATCAGCCACATGATCTTGGAGCCCTCCCTTATGTGGCCATAAAGGGCTATACAGTAGCACAGATTAAACACGTTTTTTAAACAAGCCCAGAATGATTAACCACTTTTAAATAGTCATAAAACATGCTAAATATAACCAGTTTTCAAAATTACAAGATGTCTTGTGATTCCAAGGGAAAAAATGCATAGAAACTTGAAGAGATGCCAGACTGCTGCTGTAGAAGTCCAATGCTAACACACATTTAAAAGCCAGAATTTTACATGTAATTTTAATGTAACTGACCCAATAAGTGGAGGAAAAGTGGAATATAGACCTTAATAACAAAACATGATACATGGAGAAACTGCATGTGCTGTGTCCCCAGCACAACACCTGCTGACTATATTAGACTACGGCAGCCTCCAGAGCTCATGCATAACTAAGGCAATTCTAGATTTTGCAGCACAACATCTAGGAAAATCTAGCAACACAACATGAACGTATGTTTTCTGGCTGCCTGCCTTTTTCTTTTCTTTTTTACAGTATCTCAGGAAGGACCTTCCATCTCTCATAATCAGCTATTCTTATGGCCATGTCCTCACGTCCTTTTTCAGGACTCAGGAGCTCTACCTGCACATTAACTTCAAGGATGTGATGACCTGTAACTACAAGCGATGCAAAGTGGTACAGGAGCATGGTACTTAGCAAACATAGGCCCAAGATGAGTCCCGGTCAGCCACAATAACTCACAATCTACTGATCTTTCTAACACGAGACAGAAACATGAATACTGCAGCACAGCAGAAATGCCTACCCAGAGCAAAGTAGGAGCAGTGCAACTGAGCATGAAACACAGCCATATAGATCCAAAGTATAGCTAGCCTGAGATCTAGTCTACGGCAGTGACCAACAACAGCCACGTAGCAAGGACATCCCTTATAACCCCAGAATACAGGGATTTGACATCGAAAATGCCTGTTCCCAATTAAGTCATAAATGGCCAACCTCCTCCTGCTTGAACAGTTGCCTTGTGACAATGCCTGTCTCCCTCTTGTCGTTTTTCTTTCCCAAGTAATGCAGCACTCTAAACCAATTCGCGTTCCACAAGATGGGAAATTACCTGTCCAGAAGAAATCTTCAGTGTCTGGCTTGTGCAGCTGAGTTCCCTCTTTTTCACAAGAATATGAACAGGAAGGAAAAGGAAGGTGAAATTGGTATGTGTGCCATTAAGGGATCCCTCACCGAGAGCCAGTGCTCTGCTGTGCAAAGGAGGAAGTAACTGAAACACGGTTATTTATTACGGGACTTTGCTCCCAGTTCAGTGTATATGTCATTCCCAAGTCAGGCATTCCAGTAAGTAGGAAGGCTAATTCTTGCCTGGGTGAACCTTAAACCTCAATCTCTCCACTGTGCCTGAATCCTTCAGATTTCTGATAAGCACTCCCAGAGGGAAACCCCTCAGTACGTCATCTTACACTGCTCCAATGCCACTGACTTCCCTGCGGTTGTCTTTGAGCAACCCTGTTAAATAAGAGGAAAATTGGACCCTCATCCCTCCCCTTAGTTTTGCACAGTTCTCTCTGCAAGGTCGGAAAATGCACCTTGGCGTATGGCCTGTAGGAACTGTGCTCCACCCTTTTTCGTTGCGCTAGGTTTGCTATCAGCAATCCTGCATCCGTCTTGTAAATCCCACTCCAGCACAAGGTGTGATGCCTGGGAAAGAAACAGAGGTGCAGGATACCTGTCGTGAGGCAGATACAGGATTTCTCCAGCCAGAGCATTAACCCAGGAGTTCGGGACATTTCATCCTCTAACTGCCAGCAAAAACAACAGGGACAAGCTTTTATCCATCTACCTCAACCTGACTGTATAACCTGCCTTTATGTGTTTAGCATAAGGCATTGTACACTGTATATTATTCTGT